TATTCCAGCCTTTTTCACTTAGATCGAACTCGGTAGTGGGCCAATTCCGCCAATAACTGTAGTTGAGATCGTGCCTTCGAGGCAACATCTGTCTTATTCTCAGGCATAGTTTGCAATAGACCGTAAAACATAAAATTCACCTAGATAATTAACCTCGTCGCTATTTGAAGTAGTTATTACTCAAGGTAACCAAGAAAAGCACAATTCAAATAGACGGTTTGTTTAACAAACGTCTTAACAAGTTGAAGCTTCGGAACAGACTAACGAAGTAGGTAAGAACCACTGCGTCGCAAAACAATAATCTACAGACTGAGTCACCTCCATCTTCACCCAACTCGCTTTATAAAAATACAAACACTGCAAAACTAATTTTAATTGTAACAATTATTAAACTCTTTAAACCAGAGTTTTTAGAGGTTACCTGGTATATCCGTACGATTGTATTTGAGCTTGTTTTCTCAGTGTTGTCCATAATCTAAACTATACCGCCTAATATTATTATACGGCAAAAAGATCTAGGACTGATCTGGGAGGCTTTGTTATACATTATATCATATATCCAAAAATAATATGTATAGAAATAATATACGCCAATGGAAATTGTTTATCGTCTTCAAATTCATCATCAACTTTCGTAAGTTGAGTAGGAGATGGAAAACAACAAAAAACCTACGTTCAATTCGGTCGTAGCGAATTATCAGATTGAAGAATTAAGTACAGTGGATTCACCAGGGTCGGCCGGCTTGCTTTGCCTGATAAGCGTGACCTTTAAACTTCCTTCTGGCTTCAATTTTATTACTATTACAATACAATTACCGTTTTCTCACTGACACACTTTTAACCGCTGTGTGGGTGATGTCACAGACCACCCCGGCAAGAAATGTTTATCAGCCCCGAGATAAGAGGACCTAAGTAGGGAAGCCTGGGAGCGATGTGACTAAAAAGGAGTGTTTGTCTTGCCCTCGAGGTGAATATATTATGTTTGCCACAAACGTAGTTATGCGCCCACAGGTTCCATAAGTAGCAAGTTGAAACACTATTTTTCTTCCACTTCACTTCTCCTCTTAAAATAGATCCTGAGAGCATTACAGTTTTCATACAGAGCATAAAAAAATAATTTAATTTTTATCAATACTTTTATTCATAAAAATGTATACGAATGTTAAATAATTAAACTCATTATTTAATGCTCTCATTTATCTTAAAAGCATGTACCATCTGCAGGCTACTGAGATGTAGTAAATAAACAATAAAAAACCTGACTTTTGCGTTTAAAGTTACATAGATCTAAGGGACATGAGAATGTCCTAAAAATCGCATATAGGTTGAGTAATAGAAGAAACAAGGTAATTTTTTTTACTCAGAAATCATGAGATGCGGTCTGGTGTGATGTAGGTTTCAGAAAAACATTTTCTTTAGCGTGCCAACGTTTCGATCTTTATTGAGATCATCTTCAGGGCCTGAGATTTACAAACATTGTTTACATTTAACAAATACATGTAGGATGTGGAAAAAAGTGAATTTATACAATGCAAAATATATTATTTATATTCAATCAAGGTATTTCTACTCACTCAAAGTGTTTGTCTTCTGTGTAATTGTGCCATTCTTGCGTGTCGTGTTGAGAGTGCCAGTGAGATATTGCTGTTTTATGTTTATATATGTTGGATTTTGAAGGTTTGGGGAAGGAAATCGGTATAAAAAAGACATTTTTGTATAAGGTGTCGGCTTCTTTGAGGTGAAAAGAAATAATTTTTTTCTCATAGTTTCACGTACTCAGTTGTAGTGACTATTGGATACTTATGTGGTTTTGCAAAATAAACTTACGATTATCGAGGTTATGTGGGGAGGGTTGCCCACTTGTTAACCAACTTGTGGTCTGAGGTAATTTGAAAATGTATTTAATAGATAGATCATGGATTACATATGAAGCGCTGCTGTGGTAGTGGGCTTTAAAAATTATAATCTAAAGTAATTTCTGCGAAGGAAGGCTTAACGTCCAACCACCCGTTGGCTGACGCGGACAAGAGGTCCAACCACTTTACAATAACTTTTACACATTATTTCCAATTAAAACTCCATGGGCTGTGCCGAGATTTGAACTAAGCACCTCTAGAGTGGCTAATACGAGTCGGGCGCCGTAACCACTTGGCCACCGTGGCCCCCTGAGAAATTATTAATGTGCAAAAAATGTAGAATTTAAAGAAAGATTGCTTGTATGAATCGTGAAAGTTTCACCTAACCACTTCATGTTGTAAATATTTATACGAGAAGCCACGAAAAGCTCATTGAGACTAATAAAAACGGACACCCATTCATAGAAAAGGATATGGACTATATGGTCGAGGAAATATACTTTACAATACCCTATAAAATATTAACAAACAATAAAAGAAAAGAAGAAATCTGAGTGAAATCAGATACCATGACTGGTATACAGGTGGCTCCAAAATAAATGAAGGAACAAATATACAAGTCCAAAATATGAGCAATCAAACTCATTGGCGAAGTACACCTCCGTCTTTCAAACTGAAATACATGCTATCAGGGCTGTTCTTTAGAAAATCATAAAAAAGTCACACTGACAAAAAAAATCCTTATATGATCTAGACAGTCAAGCAGTAATTAGAGCATTAAGAAGAAATCAGGGTGAAATCAGATACCCAAATTTATGTAAAAAAATCACACCAAAAATAATCAGTGAATGGATCCAAAATCTTCAAAACCTAGTTAAACAAAATAATAACCTCATGATATCTTAGGTGTCAGGACACAAAGGAGTTTTGTGTAAAGAAAAGGCAGTCAAATTGGCCAAAGAAAGATCACCATAGGCCCTGAATCTATATAAATGTAACACTGAAATGGTGCCTAGAAAAGGGTTTAAATAAACCCTAAAAGGCAGCAATTGTGCCATTCACTAGGGAAAAGCAGCACAGTCTTACAGCTCTAATCCTGCGATTTACTCTACTTTAACTCTGTTCTGTTAGGCAGATAGGAGAGTATAAGATTATTAGCAGCAGAAAAACAAAAATGTGTCATTTCCAAATAAAATAATTATTATTTATGGAGCCGAATACATTGAAAAAATCAAATAAAAATCACTAATAGCACACCTATATCTTGGTCTTGCCTAGGCGGATATGTCTGAGATTTTGAGAAGGGTTGTCTTACAGCTATGAAATTATCAAAAGCCAAATTGAAAAGGCAATATAATGGCATGGGAGTCAATAATAAGGATATTTGTTTAAACAATATCTTCTCAAATGCTTTAGAATAGTAATGAAAGAATGCTTATACACTAGCACAGACAAACATTAATATTTATTAAATCTACCAGATCTATTAAACAAAACTTTTCAAGAGCCATAAAACTCACTCAGGAATGACCATAATTAAAAATATAATTTTGAACACTATCTCAAGATGGGCGACAGACTAAATCCTTCTCTGCTTTGTAAAACCAGAACAGGAAATATCAGAGATATTAAAATCAATAAAAAAATCAGACACAATTGATTATTATGGTATGCCCATCTTTAATGACAATAAATTTGGCATTCACTGAAGGAACTTTTCATACTGTACTAAAATTTTGTAGAGCTATGGTAATTTTCAAAAAGGCAACAGAAAAGATCTTAAATGTTACTGCCCTATCACAATTATATCTATTCTTTTCAAAGTATTTGACTTTGCACTTTTACATAGACTGTTGTAACTTTTACAGAAAACACAAGGTTTTTGAAACAACAAATCACAGTTTGTCTACCAAAAAGGAATATCCATAGATCGCTTGATCCTCAACTCGATGAAAAGAGTACACAAAGCATATGAAAATAAAGTAAGTTTAAGCATGGTAATGTGTGATTTCAGTAGAGCATGCATAGACACTGCAGACCATTTTATTTTCTGTATGCACTGGAATTGTGTAGAAGTTTTTGTTAGACAGGCATCAAGAAGTCAGTGTAAATACTGTTAATTCTAGCTATTTGAAATCTAGACAAGGTATTCCACAGGGCTCAATAATAGGATCTACATTTTTTTAATTATTTATATCATGACCTGAGTGTATTTGTCTATAGATAGTGATGTTACTGGTTTACAATTAGCTCATGATTATAGTTCTATAACCAATGAAGAACTATCCAGTCTTAAGAGTGTTTGACTAATTACCAAAGGCCCTAGCTTCATGCGAGGTGAAGGCAAAGAGTGTTTGGACCTGAATGAAGACCAGGCATGGAGGCAACGAAATATAGACATGTTAGCCAAAGAGGAAGCCAACATGAACTCACTAGTCCTAAACCCTACTGTGGCCTAGCATCTTGCCACAAAAAAGGATATCTCTCAAAATGGATCCTTAATGAGTCCAAAACCTCTTAGAACAATACCACAGGCATGAGGCCCACGAAGAGATTCATAGAAGAGCCATCCGCCAAACTTACAAAGGAATTACTGGAAGACAACCGCAACCGAACTAGGATTCTGATTGGACTCATAACAGGGCACAACCACTTAAGAAAGCATATGCACTGTATAGGTGTGCAGACAAAAGATACACTGAGCAGGTATTGCCAGGAAGAGGAGGAGACCTCAGAACACATTTTACATTTTTGTGAAGGTGCACGAACAGGTTCAGGTTCTTGCAACAAAGACAGGAAAAGCCACAAGCAAGGTCCTACACTAAGGAGCCGCTGGCAAGGCTGTGGAGGTTGATTAACGATGTGAAACTGGCCAATTGTAAAAATCAGGGGAGCACTATATACCTACTTAGGTCGAGGTGCAGAAGGCCTTGTGGCCGCCTCTTTTATGCCTAACCCCCATCCCCTAACCTATTAGGTAATGGTAAAATTAAGTAACCTAAAAGGCGAAAAATTGTAGTTAATTTGTAAAAATGGTCGTTTGCAGGCGAAGAGAGAAACTGGTGATAGCTCACAATGTGAGGTACACATGACGAGAGACTGCCTGCGCCACTGAGCCAGTAGATAGTCACTGGCGAGACCGGAGGTTGCACCTCTAGTCTGTTACATCGAGTTACAACAAAAGTCTTATTTCGTATAATTTTTAATCACAAATTCTGTCAAATTTCGTTCGACAGTATGTACGTTTTCGAGGGCAACTACAGACGGACCCCTCAGCAGAATTTGGCCGGCGCCAGCCGGGTCGAAGGGAAAACCGAACTAATCAATCGTGCACAACTGGAAAGAAAGAGGAGACAGGTGAATTAATATCTATTGAAGGTTTGAAGACCCTTGTCACTAATTTTAACCCTTTCATTCTGCCATGACTATTAAATTTTTTTGCAACACGTGCTTCGAACATTTGTTCTGTTCAGTGGGTTACTGGATCACAAGTTCATAAATTACATTGGCATCACCAACCACTTTTGACTTTTGGAGGGCCAATGTTTTGAATCTGTACTTTCACAATTGATTAATATCAACGTAAATAAAAAAGACAGGTGAAACAAACTTGATCATCCATAAAAACAGTTTCCCTGAAATGTTGAGACATTGCACCCAAATAATAGAGAGTTGGCCCTAAACCTTCCAAAATTGAAAACCCTGAATTTAAAAACTATAGAATTTAAAAACCTCACTCTTGCTAAACGATTGTTATGATCCATGAATATTTTTTAATTCATTGCATTGATACAAATTTATTTTGCCAGTTTAACTGTCCATACTTTAATTTTTTATTAGTAAAATTTTATAATAAAATAAATAACAAACCATCCATATAAAATTTCTTACTTCCCCTCATTTTTTTTTCCAAATAATACATAAATCTTCATTAACATGTTTTATAGTTTGATAGCATTTTGTTAATTTTTGATTATCATTGTTCATATTACCAGATGCAAAGGAATATAAAACAAACCTGATCCTCTTTAAAACTGTTCTCCTGAAATGTAGAGACATTGCACCCAAAGAATTGAGTTAGCCCTAAACCTTCAGAGATTGAAAACCATCAATTTTTAAAAACATAAAATTTAAAAAATACCTTTGCACCAACCACCTGTGACTTTTGGATGGCCAATGTTTTGAATCTGTACTATCACAATTGATGAATATCAATGTAAATAAAAAAGACAGGTGAAACAAACTTGATCATCCTTAAAAACAGTTTCCCTGAAATGTTGAGACATTGCACCCAAATAAGAGAGAGTTGGCCCTAAACCCAAAATTGAAAACCCTGAATTTCAAAACTAGAATTTAAAAACCTCACTCTTGCTAAACGATTGTTATGATCCATGAATATTTTTTAGTTCATTGCCTGCTGAACTGTCCATACTTTAATTTTGTATTAGTAAAATGTACCTTTGCACCAACCACTTTTAACTTTTGGATGGCCAATGTTTTGAATCTGTACTATCACAATTGATGAATATCAACGTAAATAAAAAAGACAGATATGTTTCCCTGAAATGTTGAGACATTGCACCAAATAATAGAGTTGGCCCTAAACCTTCCAAAATTGAAAACCCTGAATTTAAAAACCTCACTCTTGCTAAACGATTGTTATGATCCATGAATATTTTTTAGTTCATTGCATTGATACAAATTTATTTTGCCTGTTGAACTGTTCATACTTTAATTTTGTATTAGTAAAATGTCATAATAAAATAAGTAACAACCCATTCATATAAAATTTCTTACTTCCCCTCATTTTTTTTTTTTTTTCAAATAATACATCTTCATTAACATTGTTCATATTACCAGATGCAAAGGAATATAAAACAAACCTGATGCTCTTTAAAACTGTTCTCTTGAAATGTAGAGACGTTGCCCCCAAAGAATTGAATTAGCCCTAAACCTTCCGAGATTGAAAACCATCAATTCTTAAAAACATAAAATTTAAAAAATACCTTTGCACCACTCCTGCTTAATTGTCATGGTCTTCTTACTATTCCTGATATGGAAATGCACAATGGTAAATACATCACAAATTGTTCAGTTTTAATCCAATTCAACCCGTTGATATCACTGACTGTTTTTGATTTTTGTATTGTTTTTAATTTGGACTAGAACAATTGAATATTAATATTAACAAAAAAGTGTGAAAAACACCCCTGATCACCTTTAAAAACAGTTTTCCACAAATGTTGAGACATTGAACCCAAATAATAGACAGTGTACCCCCTAAACCTTCCAAAAGTGAAAACCCTAAATTTCAAAAATGTAGAATTTAAAAACCTCCCTCTTGCTAAACAGTTGTAATGATCCACAGATGTTTACTTTCTCTGATATATAAATTATCACCTTGGTTCAAATGACATGTAAATTAATTCATTCCATTGATATGAACTTATTCTGACATTTTTAACTGACCATATTTGATTTTTTTATTATTAAAATTTTTTAATAAAATAAATAACAAACCATTCATATAAAATCACTTTCTTCCCCCATTTTTTCAAATATTACACTCAGTTCATTCGCATGTTTTACAATTTGACATCATTTTGGTAAATTTGTTGATTACCCTTGTTCATATTACCAGACACAAAGGAATATAAAAGAAAACCTGGTCATCTCTAAAACTGTTCTCCTGAAATGCTGAGACATAGCGCACAGAAAATTGAGTTAGCCCTAAACCTTCCGGGATTAAAAACCATCAATTTTTAAAAACATAAAATTTAAAAAATACTTTTGCACCACTCCTGCTTAGTTGTCATGGTCTTGTTTTCTGATATGGAAATGAACAATGGTTAATACCTTACAAATTGTTCAGTTGTAACTCGATTCATTCCGTTGATATCACTGACTGTTTTTGATTTGTGTATTGTTTTGAATTTGTACTATAACAATTGAATATTAATATTAACAAAACAGTTTGGAAAACGCCTGATCATCTTTAACAACTGTTTTCCTAAAATGTTGAGACATTGCACCCAAATAATATACAGTTGGCCCTAAACCCTGAATTTCTAAAATATAGAATTTAAAAACCTCCCTCTTGCTCAACAGTTGTTAAGATCCACAGATGTTTTTGTTTTAATTAATTTAATTAATTCATTCCATTGATATGAACTTATTCTATCATTTTTAACTGACCATATTTTAATTCTTTATTAATAAAATTTTATAATAAAATAACAAACTATTCATACAATGTTTCTTACTTCCCCCCATTTTTTTCAAATAATATACTCATCTTCATTAACATGTTTTATAGTTTTTTCGATTGGCATGTAATAGGAAATTTTTCAGTATGTTCTAATTACCTAGTTTGGAAAAATTGTTTTATGGTCGAAAGCCGTCAGTTGAAACAAGCATAGTTAAAAATATAACTTTAATACCTGCAATTAAAGGGAATTTTTTAAAAAGCGAGCTTAGAGGAAATAAGAGCAATTTTGGTGAAATTAGGGTCATTGAAAAATGAAAAAAATTGCTACATATTTTTTACTATGATTAGCACTTACCTCTATTGGATTCTCTTCACTAGTCGTTACTATTAAATGCAACTATTATAGTTTAGTTTTACAAACCAATTGGTCAAGGTGTATTTTTATATAGTACAATTGTTTTTTAAAAATTTGTTTCAGGAACAAAGAGCAAAAGAAGATGGTGCTGTTAAGATTCAAGCTGCAGTTAGGGGATTTCTCTGTAGGAGAAGGCATAAAGCTCTGTTCACATCACAGTTTGATGCAATAATGAAAGATCTTTGTAATGCGACATGTTTTTCTATGGACAATATTATATATATTATTAGAAGAATTCCCTTTATGGGCATAACTAATCCTGACGTTCCAAGAATTGTTAGTATTTTATTTGTATTTATTTATGTTTAATGTAAAAAATCATTATCTGAGAAGAGTTTAAGCATTAACAAAAGCAAAAAAAACCTAATAATATTCAAAAATCACAATATCGAATGTCAAAATCAAAATATTTTGCAATTTGAAGTTTCATTATTAGTGCATTATTTAAAACAATTTCTAAAAAATGGAAAACTGGATTAAGGGAAATATTAAGCAGCATTGTAAACCAATTAACAAACAATTTTTAAAGAAGTTAGTTCATAATGATTTAATCAGCTTGAATTTAAAAGTTGTTTGATGCAAAGATTTGAGTATGTAAAAACTATTATATGTGGGGTGTGTGTGTGTGTGTGTGTGTGTGTGTGTGTGTGTGTGTGTGNTTTGTGTGTAACCTATACTTAGTACATATTACAATTGTGATCACAATACATTTTTTCACATGCTCACAGCACTATCACTTGGACATGTGCCATGAGAAACCTGCCAATGCTGGCACTCAGAGTGAGGGATTAAGGGGCAAGGAGATCTCAAGGCCTCATCGATTAAAGCGATGTGGCAGGTTCGTGAGATGGGAATATATAGAGAGGTCTCGAACAGTAGGATTAGGATGGATCAAGAGGTTAGTGTGAAACTGTTGAAATAGGAAATGGATCAGTTCATTGACAAAAGGAATGTTGAGGTCATTGTGGATAGTGAGGTTAGGGATGTAGTAAGGAGTTTGAACAATTTGTCTGAGGTCTTTCAATCAGATGCACTGAATGTTGGATGGCTTGACAGAACCCCACAGTTCCACTCGGTATATCCAGAGTGGTCGGGGTAAAATCTTGTATAAGGTTAGTTTAGTTCTAGCAGTCAAGATGGATTTCTGTCTTAGAAATCTTTTAGTTGTGCAAGTATTCTGTTAAGTTGTTGTCTCTTGTCTTGTGTGACAATTTGATATCTGATGTCTAGGTATAGTCCTTAGTATTTGACTCTTTTTTTAATATGAACGTACATTTTTCTTCATTCAGTCTCATCCTCCATTTTTTGCACTGGTCTTTGATTCGGCGAGGATTCGAGTTAGAGGACAAAATTGTGGTATCGTCCGCATAGGCGGTGATGATGGTTTTATAGGTAGGTCAGCAGGATAAAGTATGGGAGCAAGAATGCTCCCTTGTAAGACACCGGCTTGTACCTGTCTGACTTGCAAGAACTTGTTGCCTCACCTCACTCTGCAGCAACGGTCATTTAGGTAGGATTACAGGATAAGATAATAAGAAGTGGGTAGGAAACATTTAAGTTGATAAATACGTGGTTGTGAGACACTAAAAAAAAGCCTGTGATATATAGCGTTAAAAATTCAAATGTTTGTAAAATGTAAAAAAAATTGTTTTATCATCTTTACTAGTTCTATGCTTAGATAATTTAATGTATACCTATTTTAATGTATAAATAAATGTGCTCTAACTAATTGTCTGTTTTGTTATGCTAATTTATTAATACAAAATAGCTAGATATAAATACATATCTAAATTCATTTTAGTAGAATACATTTTGGCCTGTTGATTAGATATTAAAAGGTGTGTTTGGGTTAAGACAAAACTTTTTAAAAACTAAGCTTTTCTTACACGTTAGTTTTATGGTAGTTAATGATAGTTAATGATGATAGTTTATGGTAGTTAGAAGAAAAAATGTAAATGTATAAAATGAGTTTCCTAATAAGAAGGATTACTTTCGGGCACAAAAAGCAATGTGGAAAGCTGTATTTTTACATCAGTAACAGTTAGTGATTTTCCAGTGGAAATACATATTTTAAAAAAATATTTTTTATTTTTTAGGCCTTTGTTTGTGTTAAAGGTGGTTCTAAAAGAAAGTACAGTCTTCCAATATTTTGGCATTCTGTACCATTTTCAAAAAAACTATTTTATTTTATGTATTTTACGTTGGAAGACTAATGTTGTTTAAAACCACCTTCAACTCAAAGGCTTAAAAAATAAAATAAAAATATATCTATAAAAAGAAAAGGAAGGACAACAACGAAGAAAAGAAAAATCTATAGTATTAGTGGCCATTAATTAATGATTATTTAAAGATCGTGAGATGCAGTCTGGTGTGATGTAGGTTTAGAAAAACATTTTCTTTTTTGTGCCAATGTTTCGATCTTTATTGAGATCATCTCCAGGGCCTGGGATTATAAATATTGTGTATATTCATACCTTGTATGTATTTGTATAATTTAAACAATATTTATAAATACCAGGCCCTGAAAATGATCTGAATAAAGATCGGAACATTGGCATGATTAAAAAAAAATTTTCCTAAATAAAAATGTGTACAAACCTACATCACACCAGACCGCGTCTCACAATCTATAGAAAAGAAAAATGTAAAAAAATATATTTTTTAATTGAAAGTTTAAACAAATATTACATTTGTTTGTACTGTTAATACTATAGTTAACATTGTTTTTGTGATCACATAAATGTTTAAGTTAACACTTTGTACACACACCTTATGTATTTTGACAATAATTTTATTTTTCAGTTAATTGCAACCAGTATAGTATTAAACCATAAAAGTGAAATTTTGAAGGAACTCCAGAAATCAAAGTTTGATTGGATGTGGAGATTAAAGATTCTAATGAGGTACAGCTTATTGGTGCTGAAGTTATCTAAAAACTGCAAATTAGAATTTTATATGAATTCCTTGCAATTTGTGGATTATTTTACTTCATATCACTACATTTCACAACATATTAATGACGAATTAGCCAAAGAATTAATATCCGAGGTAAGCTTTTTTTATAGATAAATAAATAATAATTTATGTCAACCATAGTTATATAAACCATATAGTTTAACTTCTATCTCTCCCCTCTATATTTTTCTAATTTGATATTTTATGTAAAATCCTGAGATACAAAATTTTAATTTTTGTCTACTTGTGCAAACGATTTTTAATTTGGAGCAACCATTATGTATTTTTCTTGTTCTCAAATTATTACAAACATGTGAATCATTAGAAAAAGTTTCAATGTCCTGATTGAAAGAATATTTTCCTCGAAAACTGACAAAGGAACTAAGGGTGTTTTCTTTCTCTCAAATTTGGCAAAACCCAATCAGTTCACCCCGTATTTTTTTCTTTTTTTAGCGTTTTTGTGGGAAAAAAACTCCAAGACCAAGACACAGAAATTTTTATTTTTTGTCTATTTCTCATGAAACAGAAGTTTAGATCAAACTCTTCAAAATAACGAGATACAAATTGGAACTGAACTATTTCAAATAGCAAGATACTCATCAATGGTTTGATTTTGATTACATTTTGTAAAAGGTTTTTTGATGCGGAATGCAATAGTGAAACGGTTTTTAATTTGGAGCAACCGTTCCCAAATTATCCGAAAAAAGTTTTTTCCAGATACTGTTTTTTGGATAAATGTCATCTTCTCCAACTTCTTCAACCAAACACCCATTTATTTATTATTATTATTTTAATAATGAGTATTATTAAATATAATATAATATTAAATTTTAATTATTTTAATTTACAGTAACTGCATTGCTCATAGTATTAAAAGAAAATTTTGTAACAATTTTCTCAAATAATATCGATTAATAGGACGCTTTGGATGTGGCTCATTAAAGTGCAATTAGGCTGGTGCAAATTTTGGGCTCATGAGAAACTAGACAAAAAATAAAAGCTTCATGTCTTGGGTTTTTTCATAAACAATAAAGAAAAATAAAGCAGAGAATAGAAGTTAAACTCACCCTGAACATTCAACATTAAACATTAAATAAATACTAAAGTTACGTTTCTAACACACCCTAAATGGAATGTTTTGAATATTACATCCAGCAAGTGCAGCACAAGGGTGGTGAACAAAACTTCACACTCGCTATTTTCTCCACTTCATAGAAAACCATTGAATTATGAATATATAACCTAACTCAACACATGCACACACCCTAGTAATGCACAGTCAATGATGCAACTAACATGTAAATAGCTAAAAAACATATAAATGATAAAACAAGGGGCTTGTATTTAATGGCTCAACGAAAATTACATAAATGTGCAAGTTGGGGGATGAACTGACTACCTTGTTAAACCTATGTGGGTTACCAATTTATATATATCGTGGTGGCCAAGTCATTAGGGTGTCTGACTCATATTTACCGATCTTTTAAAGTGATACTGTCCTGTCATCCTGCATAATGGGAATTACTATACTTTACGGGTTTTTTCTGCAACACTTTCTAGGAAATTTCTAAGATAAAATATTTTTAATGAGATAAATTTATCATGCATGTAAATAAATATAACAATACATTTAGATATTTTTTCTTATATGTATTACCATTAATAGAAATTGTAATAAATGCCATAATTATATTCTGCGTGTAATATCGATTTATACAATGCAATTATAATTTTAAATGATTTTAGCTTTTTCTATATGGCGTTTTCAAAGAGTACTTCAAAGTTGGATTAACCCTCTTGGAGAAAAGTCATAATGAAAGAGCTGGTGAAGTGGAGTTTTTATATCCTATCAATATGCTCCTTAGGCCATTCGCTTCATTTCATCACATAATCTACCCAAATTACAAGTATGTTTTTACCCTGCATCTTCAAAATATGCCATTAAAATAGTTCAATAATTGTTTTTAAATATATATATTTTAGGAGTTTGATCTTGTTTAAATTCTGTTCAACACTGAACTCTTTGGAAAAGAAAGAAATTCATCCATCATTGTTTCAAAGGTTACTCCCTCGATTAAAATTAATAAATTTTCCATATATAGAATACTTGAAGGCAACCATGCAAATTGCTAACTCATACTATAATTCAATATTGCTATATTGCGCTCTTTATTTTGATAATAACAAAACTGGTAAGTAGGTTTTGCAACAACAACAAAAATTAGAATGTTTATTTATTTGTTTTAATTAAAGTTTTTGAAGAAAATGAGTACCAAATCTACTTCAAACAACTGGCGATATTAAGTAGAAATTTGTTTCGTTTGTCAAATTCATCTCCAATTGATATTGACTCAGACGATGATGATTATGAAGTTTATGAGGAAGAACGATTTACAGAACAACGGGTAACTATATTTTTTTTTAATTAATTTTTTTTTTTTTTTAATTGTGCTTTATACAATATTATTTATACCAATATTGGTGTTTGATTCTATCTCAGTGCAAATATTCTGAATGTAGATAATAGTGTCCTATATTTAAAACTAAATAAATAACTTGAAAATAAGAGGTTCATAGTCAATTAGCCAATGTGCGCCCTGGCAATATTAAAGAGACCCCATTTTTAAAAACGCCACAAGGGTGATTTTTCAGCACAATTATTGCCTGCAAATTGCCTTTCGAATAAAACTTGTTTGAATTTGAATGAGCGCACGGGTGATTTTTTTGTCACTTCTAACCTCACTTTTATTAAACAGTGGCTTATATCAAATGTTTCAAAAACTGATACTGACAAATGTATTTCATAAAAATTGAATATTTTCACGCTGTGGATGAAGTGGCTTTTTTTTAATGTGAACACTGCTAGGGTTAAATTTAATTTTTTAAAGTTTATAAATAAAATTATTTGATAGAATTCCAAAAATGCATACATATAAGAGGAATCGGCCTCTTTACGACCTGTGCACTGTGGCCAGTATTGGTCTATTGTGCATCTCCATTGCAGTCTAGAGCTCCTCATTAGAGTTAACAATTTTTACCAGATCCCGAAGCTTTTTCAAGAACTCCTATTTGTATCCTTGCCCAAGCTTTTCCTCTCCTAAAAGTAGGAATCTCAGCTTACATAAGCCTTTGTACCAACAGAGGACATATTCTGCTGTATCTTCTTTTTCCTGGAAATGTCTGTACCAGCTTGTTTCTGCCTCTCTGAGTCTACACACTTTTGTAGTCTGCAGTGTCCAGTTAGCAGTCCAATTCTACTCTACACATCCTCGATTTATTAGTTCTGCTGTTAAGTTTCTGCGATAGTCCTTTAATGAACGTTTTCAAATGCCTCTATCTTCAGCTGCATTATCATTGAATCCAATGGATCCACATTTTTGGCAGTTTGGTATGACACAATAGTGTTCAGTGCCAATAGGTGTCCTCTTCGAACTTTCCTCGGCCCTTCATTGTCTCTGCCCTGTGTGCCGTTGCACCCAGACAAGGGTAATTTTGTTGTTAGGTCTGTCAGGGTTCTAATGCAATCCCAAACAACTGGACTTTACTACCAATATGGTAATTGCCCTCAGTGCATTAATTTCCGGTACAGTGTTCAATAGCCAGTCTCCACTTGAAAGCCATTGGCATATTGTCCAAGGTTTATACGAATTCTAGTTCTTGGTTTATTTCCAGTCTCCGTTTTGGAGTCATCTGTATACCAGATATGGTTAGCATTATGATCACAATGGATCATATGTAATTTTGTAAATGTCAAGTTTAGCTTTGTTAAGGATGAATGTATTAGCCATAAAATTTGCAAACTTGTCCGCTTTGCTTTGGTTAAATTTGATCCATTGGTTATGGATATTTTTAAGAGATTATTGTTACTTATTGTTCTGCACAAAGCTTCTATAGAAGCTGCAAAAATCTTGTAGCAATTTGGTGAAAATATAATTAGTTAGAATTTAGTTACAGCTAAGTTTTCTTTCAGATTTTACGGGAATGTTCTCAACTTTTGAATAGTCCAGAAAAAGCAGATGCTTGGATTGAATATCTTAATATTATTTTAATGAATGAACAATGGGATACATTGATTGACTTCACTGCTTGCCTTCACCATTTACTGATCAGTGGCAATAACCCTGTTCACCATTATCGGTGTGTTATGTTTAACTCTTCTATTATACAATATAATGTTTAATATTTTTTTTCTTGTTAATAGAATATTTCTCTTATTAACCAATAACAGTCATTGCCTAAAAGGATTTTGGCAATGCATAAGCCAACTAAAAAGGTCTGGCACTTTGTCTCATTCAGTACCACTGATAAGTATTCTTGCAAGAGGCATGCTACTCGATAATGATGAGGCTTCTCAACTTCTTCCGTTACTCACAATGTTTTCGTACATCCTTAAGTTTTATTATTCAACAATGACTGATGAAGAATTTTATGCTGAAGGTGAGCTTACATTGTTAACATTTTATATCAGAAATTCAACATTACATTTTGAAATTATTAAAATTATAATTTAATAATATGTAGAAAGATGTATAATTTAATTGGTTACAATGGAATCCAGAATAGAATATTTAGAGTTTCATAATTTTAAATCTTTTCTCAGTGATAAAATGTTAAGTTATTATTTATATTATATAAATATTTTAACCAATAGTTGTTTTTAATATTATTTAATATTTTTAGAACCTAATCCAGATTATCCAGCTAAACCATTTACTCTTGCTGAAATGGTATCTCTCAGCAAAACTTTAAAAGATATAGCAGTTGGAATTATATTACTGGCTTACCCTGACACGCACGATCCAGGAACAGATCAAACTATTCAGAATAATATTCCTACATCAAATGCAAATTACAATATTAAATGTTGGACACTTCTTATGCAGGTAACATTACATAAAGATGTAAACTTTTTTTCAATATTTTATTATAATTATTCGGAAATCGTAAGATGTGGTCTGGTGTGATGTAGGTTTCAGAAAAACATTTTCTTTAATGTGCCAACGTTTCGATCTTTATTGAGATCATCTTCATGGCCTGGGATTTACATTGTTTAAATTTAACAAATACATGTAGGATGTGGAAAAAAGTGAATTTATACAATGCAAAAAATATTTTTTATATTCAATCAAAGTGTTTGTTTTCTGCGTAATTGTGCCATTCTTGCGTCTCGTGTTGAGTTCTAGTGAGATATTGCTGTTATATGTTTATAAACATTGGATTTTGAAAGGCGGGGAAGGAAGTCGGTATAGAAAGACATTTTTGTATAAGGAGTCGGCTTCTTTGAGGTGAAAAGAGCCGACGAATGGAAAAAATGTTGGTAATGGTTCGGCCAGATTATCCTTTCAGGATTATATAGACAGGGATAAATAGGAAAAGGAAAGCTAAATTGTTGAAAAATTAGACTATGTAGAAAATTAAATTCACTAATTTCGTAGTCCGCTTGACCAATTAATTTATTACAATTAATTAAGGTTTTTAGTTGTGACAAAAAAAGTCAATGGCACGAGTGGGAGTTGGTGTCCGAGTGGATCGAGGTCACAATAGCTCAAGTGGTAGAGCAGCGGTGTATCAAGCCGAAGATCGTGGGTTCGAATCCCGCTCGTGCCATTGACTTTTTTTATCTCAACTAAAAACCTTAATTATGTGGAAAATGTTTGATGTGTGGAATGTGATGAATGTTTTGTATGTTATAATATGTGTTTTGTGTGATGTGATGACATATGTATGTTATTTATATTGAATTTGATATTGGCGTAGCTGTGACTGAGTTTACAGAACAGACACATGTAAACTCAGTCACAGCTACGCCAATATCATTAATCAAATTCAATACCAATAACATACATTTGTAAATCCCAGGCCCTGAAGATGATCGATCTCAATAAAGATCGAAACATTGGCACGATAAAGAAAATGTTTTTCTGAAACCTACATCACACCAGACCGCATCTCTTGATTTCCGAATAATCGTCGACTAACTGTCACTAATCACCACACATTTTATTATAATCTTCACTTTTGTTTACAATATGCAATTTGAGGATACGTAGAGATATTGACAACTATTTACATTGAGAGGAGCAAATAGTCAATATTATTCTCCCACTTCACGTACTGAATAAACTTCACTGCCTACTCCTCAGAAAGGAGGTCAGTTCGCCAATTGAGACCCTAATGGGATTATAGGGATGGTCCTGTCGGACAAGTCTTGGATGAGACTATTGAGGCAATGGGAGAGATTATTGTGGAACTTTGAATAAATGGAATTATCAGATTATTGCTGAAGGAAGTATCGGAGATATAATACAGAACATTTATAATTGATCTGAGGACTTTAAACTGAAAGGATTTGATTTGGATATTGGAAGATTTGGTGGTTCCCCACAGTCTATGCTGTGGTTTTGTGGATTGTAGGTTTGTTTTTCATTGATGGCTTAGATTGTCCGATTGAATTAGTCGGATAGGTTTATGAGTAAGACGTAGTGTCTGTTTAGTAGTGTTTGGAGTAATCTGATCCTTGTCATACTCAAAAGAACCGCTCTATAAGGTAAGAGGATTAAGTAGAAATTGGCCTGTTGCCGTCAAGAAAGGCTCCCATGCAATGTTGAGGTCAAGGGAGGAGGATACACTTTCTATAAAGTGAAACACTTCTTGCTCTGTAGAATGGTGGGAGGTTGTAGGTTGGATAAATGGGAGACAAAAGCTTTGTTGCGGTAGAAGAGAAAAAAATAGAAGATAATTATGTGTAATGGGGCATAGGGATAATTATATGAAAAGTATCCCTTCACCACAAAAATTGAAATGTTAGATCAGTCTACATTTTTCTTGTGTTAATTATAATATACCTACTATATAAAAATGGTATAGAAAGAAGAAAAAGCGACGAAGAAAATGTTAAATAATGTTTTTAAACAATTATTTTAAAGAAAAATTGACAGTATACATGTATTTTAATAGGTTTAATGTTTTGAGTATGCAAATTAATAGTGTTTTTTTTGTTTGTTTTTTTTACTGTGATTGCTGAGAGATCACCATATATCATTTTTCCAACTTTCCAGGAGGTTATTGGGCTTGTGTCTTTATTAAATGCACGTGATTTAAGAAAGCCATTTACAAAAGAAGGACACTGGCTCTCTAACTTTATCAGTGTCCCTGATACTGTGCCAGTATATAATAGTACAAAATCTGTAATGGCCCAGCCTTTCACTAGTAGCAGATCTAATACAAGATCAGTCATATCTCACAATGTTGGTAAGAATAATCTTTTTATTTAGTGCTGCAGTTATATTGTTTAACTGTGTAATTGAATTTTGTATGTTTATTTTCCTTGCAGAAGGACAGTTACTGCTTTCCATCCATGAAAGTCGAAATGTTTGTTTGTTGACATTGATCCCCTTCACAATTGCTTTCCTTAAGAGGTTTTCTATATTACAAAATCATTTTGATGTTGAAAGATTCGAAAATCAAAATCCTCAAGTTCATTATCTGCAAGCTCCTCCTCATTATTTTGTAAGGATTAGAAGACACTATTTGTACGAGGACGCTTTTGAGAAATTATCTGATGAAAATGGTATGTTCAACTTATTTTTATTTTTTACATATATATATTAATGTATACAAACAATGAACATTAGAAAATTTCATTTGCAAATATTTTTTATTTTAATTTTATTTAATTTTATTTTTAGCACCAGATCTTAAATTAACTGTTAAAATCAAAATGGTAAACAAATGGGGACTAGATGAAGCAGGAGTTGATGGTGGAGGTGTATTTCGTGAATTCATTACAGAACTATTGAAAACGGCATTTGATCCTAATAGAGGCTTCTTTATTTGTACCAATGATAATGAACTGTATCCCAATCCAAATGTACATGTCATATGCCCTGATTTTGAAAAGCATTACTTTTTTATTGGAAGAATTTTAGGAAAGGTATGGTAATTATTTTGTGAAACAAGGTGATTATCCTGGTCCGCTTATTCTCACTAGTTTTTGGTTAAATGCATTTTGCAAAGATGATGATTTTGAAATACATATGACAAAGCAAAGCCAGTGAGAGTAGGTAGACTAGAATGATCATAGATATTCAAATTACAAATAATTGTTTTGTTTATTTCTTTTACTATACCGTAGTCCCTCAACATTCTCACATTCGACATTCGTGTAGTTTTTCTGGATTGTAACCCTTGAGAATATTAAGGGATTATTGTATTTCTACAGCATCCCATAAAGTTATATTATATGAACAATATTATTCACCCAATTGTCTTTTATTCCAAAAAAAAGACATCTTAAATATTACATATTAGAATACTTCAAAATTCTTATAAATGTTATATTTAATTTTTTACGTGTCTTGAATTTTTAGGCAATTTATGAGGGAATAATGGCTGAAATTCCGTTAACTGACTTTTTCCTCGCAAAGTTAACTGGAGATACAAGAAACATGTATTTAAATAACCTTGCATCTTTGGATCATGAACTTTATAAAAATATAATGAATTTGAGACGGTACAAAGGTGATTTTGCAGAAATGGGACTTGATTTCACCATATACACCAACCAGTATGGACAAAGTCTGGTTAGTATGATTAGTTTTTTATTATTAATCTTTCCTGTTGGGACATCAGTGACCGTTAGAGCGTTGACACAGTGACTTATCAACTGTACGGGTCCCATTTTCGAATCTCAGTTCCCTGAATATAAACCAAACATATTTACAAATGATTTTTTTCCCACAAACACCAGCACCCTGAGGGACATGACCTTGTAGTTAAAATACCACATAAAAATCTTACTTAATAAAGAATAAGTTATCAATAAAATGTTCATTTGACAAATTTTATATTCCTTTTCTTCCTCGCCAGCTAGCGTAGCAGCTTTGCATTTTCTCCACCTCACTTTTTTATTGACAAAATTTGTCTCTCTAGTATGAAGGCTTGATGATCGTACATTTTTTACGGAATTTCAGAGGTTCTGTAAGCATTTTTAATTGCCCCTTCCACTCATGGTGAAAAGGCTCTGTAAGTTAAAAACATACATAATTGTGGCCAAACCTAAGTTAGACGGGCCTCAGGGTACTGGATATTCCACTGACACTGTCTAGAAACTTTCATACTATATGTACAATTAAAAATTTGGGAGATACTGGGGTTTTATGCCAGTGTCTCGTCTACAATCACTCTAAAAATATATATACATAAAACTCACCTAAGTTGGTGGGTCCGTTAGATACTGTATATTCCACCACAGACCCACCCACACATACCATTCAATCTAATAAATACATTCATACCATATGCACAGATAAAATTTGGTGAGTCGCTGGATTATTTGATATTCTGCCAGTGCCTTCCCCTTTCTTGAACAGCATTACACTAAAAACTAGCCTAATTGGATGAGTCTATGGGGTACTCTATATTCCACCATAAACCCACTCACACAACCATTCATGCTAATAAATACATTCATTCAGTACAAAAAATAACTAACCTAGTTTGGTATCTGTGGGTACTTTATATTCCAGCATAAACCTATTCATACACACTCACTCAATCAGTCAGGCTAATAATTCATTCTAGATGGGTAAAACCTAACCACAAATGTGATAAAATGACTAATAATTAAATACTCTCATTTGTAACTTACGTTTTTATTTTTAGAGCAGAGAACTTAAACCGAATGGAGGGGAAATTCCTGTCACTGCAGACAATGTGGCTGAATATATAGATCTTATTGCAAAATTTAAAATGCACGAAGAAATATCTAAGCAGACAGAAGCCTTTAAAGAGGTAATTAATTAAATAATTGAAGAGTTATGTTAATTATGTAATGTCCTTCTATGTTGTAGAATCTTTAAAGTGTTAGTTGTGTTTTATTAATTTATATATTCATTGCGAAGAGTCATCGTAAAAGAAGTCAAGATGTAAACCACTAAATTTTGTACAATCTTTATTTAGCACAATAACTTATTTACAATTATGTAGATTAAACACAAGCTTGTCTGCCCACTTTATTAACCTTCAGCCCTTCGAACTCTAGAGAGTGGTCCTTCTACAGACCATATTCGTAAGTCCAGTTGATCTTCAATCTGTTTTAAAGGATAAGGCTCCTTGGATTCTCATTTTGGCATTCACTCCTTCATTGTTTTCTGACCATCTTGTAGTCTTCAGTATCTGTACCTTCCAAATTGATGGAAAAATAGAAGTGTTTCATTCCTTTCCTTTTCCTTAGAAATTCCATTTTATTATCCTCTTATGTTTTGAACTCACAGCATATCTATGCCTTAAGGGATTTTTTTATTGACTGGGTTGTTCCTTGAGTCATCCCAGGTTCCTGGGGGTCAATTGACATTTTTGCACCGGTCTTCCCACACCTTTGTCGTCTGTCCTTTTCCTTGACCGCTTGCCTCATTTTGTGTCTTTCCTTCCCCTCAACAGTATTACAATCCTTTGACACCTTTCCTTTTCCTTGACAGCTCGCCATGTTTTATGTACGTCCTTCCCCTCGACATTCAGGTTTTCGCCTGGAAGCTTCTCTAAGTGCGCAGACTGTGAGAAATTTTACCTTTATTCCCATAAAAAAAAGTCAGGAGACCACTAAATCTGAAAACCTTTATTTAGCATAACAACTAATAATAGCACAATAACTTTGCAATTACATAGACAAAATACAATGCACTCCTCTTCAAGCTTACGACGCACTAGCTAGTGTCTGCCCACCCTGACCGTCCGCTTTATTTACCTCCAGTCCTTCGAACTCTGTATGGTGGTGCCTTCTCTGGGCCATACTCGTACCCTTGAGTCAGTCGTGATACTGGTCAGGATGAATAAATTTTGCAATTTAAAGAAGCTAACTTCCACATCCATTGTTTCATATGAATCATTCACTAATTGTTTTATTATTTCCAGGGTCTTCAAAACGTATTCTCTTTAGACTGGTTAAAAATGTTTAGTCCAAAAGAATTGCAAATTATTATATCTGGAGATGAAGCTCCTATAGATATAACAGACATGAAAATGAATACTGTATATGCTGGTATGCTATTCATTCACTCTTTCTTTATCATTATTTATAGTGCGTTGATACAACAACATTAACGATATAATTTGAACTTCAGGTGGCTATTCAGCTGAACATCCATGTATTATCATGTTTTGGAATATATTGGATTCATTCAACAATGTTGAGAGAAGTGATTTGTTGCGATTTATCACAAGTTGTCCTAGGCCACCTTTATTGGGATTCAAGGTAATTAAATGATTATATTACTTTATTTAGATTATCTAACTACCATTAGAAATTGTCCCAATGTTTTTAATTACAATCATTAAGTTTGTATATCATACCTTATATCATTGTTGTCAAATTGACAATTCAAAATCAAGGGTTTACGACAATAAAGAAATTTATATGTGTTTATAAAAATAAAACTTTTTAATGTATAAAAAGAAAAAACAAGATTGTTTTCATAGTTGAATCTGAGTCCCATTTCTGAGCTCCTCTGAATTTGTAGTAAAGAAAGAAATAACAGTATAAACATCCTGAACTTATCAATAACACAAAACAGATGACAAACTACAATTTGACATTACAGAAAACCGACAGCAACTGAAAACGTCATACATGCTGACTCGAGCCACCCACACTGACACAAAATGGCAGCACTGAAGTAAATGACATACAGATTTTTTTTTTTAATGTGTGTAAATTTTCTCTCGTAACAAGTCTGCTTTATGGTTGTTTCATAAACCGTTGGCTCACAAATTTATACATAATTGATTTATGTTTTGTGTATCAAATTTTAAGTTTAGATGAAATTTATGAGCTCGAGCCCCAAAATTTAAGAAAAAACCTATCTAATCGCACAAAACTTGATAAACGAGATCAATGCAAGTGATGATTTCCTACTGAACAAAACATCGCAATATTTCACATGAAATAATATTTATTAATATTTTGCTACTGCGGACTGGTATAACTGATTTATCAGGAAAATAAATAAAATGAAATACATTCCGAGTCATTTTTTTTTTTTTTTTTTTTTTTTTTTTTTTTTTTTTTTTTTTTTTTTTTTTTTTTTTTAGGCTACGACCTTTGGGTCAATTTTGCCTTGAATCTTTCAAGGGTGGGGGAGACACATGTTCAAGAAGTACAATTTATATTTCACCAATTAAGCCTGCCTCTGACAGGAAATCAAAGACAGCGTCTAAATATGGGGATTGATCACTCAATAATTCGGATATGTTGTTTGGGAAGTGGTGTGATGTGCGGAGAGGAGCGTAACGTCGACAGTTCAGTAGGATATGTTTAATTTTGTTTGACAGGTGTAGCATATTGGTGTATTTTTATGTTTGAGTAGGTAGCCGTGGGTAAGGCGGGTGTGTCCGATCCTTAGTCTGGTTAGAGCTGTTTGTTGTTTCCTAGTGGTTCAAATTGGGGATTGCCAATGTTTAACTTCTTTTTTAATTTTGAAAAGTGTATTTGTAGTGTGTTGTCTATTCCACTCACGCTCCCATTCTTTCCAAATGATGTGTTTGATATGTGTGCAGAAATCATTGTAGGGAACTTTTGTATAGGGAATTCCACATGAAATTGATTCTTTAGCTAACTGATCGGCTTTTTCGTTCCCTTGGATGCCAACGTGACTTGGGATCCACATGAAAATAACTTCAACATTTTGAGTGGAGAGTTCTTTTAGTTTGTAAAGGATATCTTGGATGCTCGGATTGTAAGAAAAAATATTTTTGATTGACATTATCACAAATATTGTCAAAGTATGAGAGTTTTATGAGAGACAGATATAACTTATTCAGCAAAAGAGTCATGAAACCAGCACTGAATACCACTAACAAATAGGAAAATTATTAAGGCAAAACATCGACAAAACCAACTCATGAAAAAACTGAAATCTACTCACCAACTAATGTGGAGACAAATATGCAGACAAACAGGACGAAAAATAGAAGACAGTTACACATCATTAAGAACAACAATGGAAAATCGAATCACACGACTCACTAACAGAAAACAACCCCAATCCTCGACAATACAAGCAAGCATAAGAGAGGGAAGAAAAATGAACATACTCGAAAATTTAGAAATATTCAAACCTAATAGATTTAACACTAAAAAAAACTCATAAATAGAAAAATTAACAATAAGCATTTACACCATTTAAAACATTACAAAAATTAAAAAGGACAAGTACCAAAGATCAAAAAGACTGATTAAAAGGTAACACAAAAAACCCAACTTAATCCATCAAACACATTGACAAACAATACTAATGCTGACACAGCCCCCATCTACAATCTCGTAACTAAAACCACTCCACAGAATCACCCAAACACAGCACTGAAGATGGCGTTATGCCAAAAAGCTTCTGACTGACAAAATCAATCATTCTGAGAATAGGCAGACCAAGACGATTGGAAACTATTAAACAATAAGTAAAAAAGGATTTGGTTAAACTATCCCTTAAAATTTCAAATAGAAGATGCCTTTGGGAAGATAGATATTTGATGATTTGAGGTATGGGTATGTAGTTTGATGTTTACCCCAATTAGAAGGGGTTTGTTATTTTATTACATTTTTTTTTTCTTCCAGCAGGCTGTAATAGACATTGCAATACTGTACGGCTGTTTTATAGTTGATATAATGTAGAGCCGATTTGAATTTCCTATCTCTGTTGAATCAGTTGTCATTTAGACCTAGGTTTGTTGAAACATAGTCAAATATTGGTGTAATCGATGATTTCAGATGTAAAATCTAAAAATATATTAAATCTATCACATTTTGTACTTTTGCTCATTTTTAATTTCATTCAGATTCATTCAGATAGAAATTAATCTTTTCGAGACTTGTGATGAGTTATCTTTTTCTCTCTTTCTCCCCCTTTTATTTAGCTCTAGCTGTACACTCACGGTATCTATTGGGCTGTAGCTATATCCAACGTATTGGACTTTTAAATAGTCGGTGTCCACACACAATGGTGTCCGAACACCTCGGTAGTGAATGGAGACTTACAACCTTCCTTTCCCATCCTCATCATCAATGAACCACTCTTTTTTCCCCGTTCTCGCAACTTTTGCAAAATTGTGAACATTCCTTTTTTTTTGGAAAACCATTCTGCCACCACATCTATTTTTCATTGTGATGTCCTACTTCAACTACCTCTCGCCCATGCTCTTCCCTTCCCTACCTTATTGTCTTTCTGATTGTTCAACTCTTATCTGTCAAGTGCACTCTGTTTTAGTTTTTTATTGTTTAATTCACAGTAATTTTCGGAATATATTTTGTTTTTGTTGTCCTTATTTACCAGGACCAGAAAAGATCATGCAATTTGTCATTTGTTATTATTTTAATACCATTAATCTACATTTCTATTTACTTGGGCTAAATGGCAAAAAGGAGGGAAAATTCAAAAGGTGCGGTTGGGATGGGAAGTTGGTGTCCGAGTGGATCGGGTCATGATAGCTCAAGTGGTAGAGCAGCGGCGTATCAAGCCGAAGATCGTGGGTTCGAATCCTGCTCGTGCCATGGACTTTTTTATCTCAACTAAAAACCTTAATTAATTGTAATATATTAATTGGTCATGCGGACCACGAAATTAGTGAATTTAGTAAGTCAAAAATATAAAAAAAGAATTCCACCAAAGTAGGCTTTTCTTTGATATAACAATAAATTTGAGGGAAACATTTTTTTTTTCCTTAAATGTGAAACTTACGAATGTAAAATAAATCAGGCTTGGGTTACTTAGCACCTGCGAAGAGAGGAACGCATTTTAGGTTCCTAAAATCATTCTAGTATCAAAGGAAATATGATTATAAATAAAATAACCGTCTTACCATCCTGTTCACTGCTTATATCACTTTTCTCATTTTTCCTATCACAGATAAATTTATGATTGTGTGCTAAAGGTTTTATTCTAATTATTTTCAGGAACTTCAGCCACCCATTTGCATTCAGCACGTTGAAGGTGTTGATGGCAGATTCCCCACATCAAGCACCTGTATGAATCTCTTGAAACTTCCCGCATTTTCCGATGAATCGATTATGCGATCTAAACTGTTATATGCTATACAGTCAGGAGCCGGTTTTGAATTGAGTTGATTGGTTTCTTTCATTTGTTATACATTATTTTTAGATTTTACTTTAACGAATAATGTTAAAGAAGGTGTAATTTCTTTGTGTATATAAATGGTATTATTTATATTGCTGTCACATTATCAAGAGTTATAATGTGATAATAAATGTACATATTAAATTAACACTTTTTTGTAGAAAGGAAGTTGCTGAAAGAAGTTTTTTTTTTTAATTCAACGGTAGGCTGAAAGTTAAAGGCCAGTTGTCCACCAGGTAGTAAAACCGAGATAAGGTACTTTGTGATATATTAGTTATTTATCAACTGGTAATAAAATTAATTGTAAAGAGGCTAGAATTGAAACTAGAAGTTGGTTATTCATTAATAAATGCAATGTGCATTAAGTAATGCTACTGATTATCGATCTACCAACTCAGTAAAGAAAAGAGTGCTGATAAACCATTCAGATTGATAAGAGTATTGAATTTATGCTTTAATTAAAACAATTTCTGGTTTCTGTTTTTGTATATTTATTTGTTATATTGAATTTTGCTGATTTTAATGCAATACTTAATGCAAAGTGCCAGTGGTTCCAAGTTAACCCTCACCCTCACAAGTTGTGGTTGGGATTGCCTTCGACCTGGAACAAAACCTCCGAACAGCCAATGAGATTTCTTCGAGGGGGGGGGTTTATTTTAAGGCTAATTTACCTCGGTCCAGATCCTTTTTTGCAATTAATCAACAAGTAATGTGCAATTGATGTAGCCTCTGTATTAGGTTTTCTATAAGATTTCCATATCTTATTTCTATCATTTGACCACAATCCCTACAACCTTTTTGCCAGGTGGACCTGGAAGTGGAACCACTTGGTACCAGGGGAAGGAACATTTTAAAAAAACCGGCCCCTCACGCCATAGCAGTCCCTGGAAACATTTTTTGAAAAATTGGTACATTTATAGTTAATGAAACAAGAAAAGATGCTTTTGTTCATTTTTACCCTAAGGTTATTGAATAACCAAAAGTCCCATTTTGACCTGAGAGAGGTATTCAAGGGTGCTTTTGGTGTTCAATAACACAATAAAATATATTTGTAATTATTTGGTTTAATATTGCAACTAACTCTTTTAACTGGCCATCAAGTTGTACACTTTTGAGAAATATACGTACAAGCTAATCTTTGAGATTAAATGTTTAACATTTTTACATTAATTAATAATGAAATTGGTAACATAATCGTGTTATAACGTTGATGTTGTGTAATCCCCATCTGTAAAATGGAAACCCTCTTTTTTTTCATTTGTCGATGTTAGGATAGTTTTATTTGTTAAGAATTTATCCATAATGTTCACTTTAGCCTGTCCTTAATCAGGCTGGTCTAATTTTTATACAGTTGAACGTTCATTCTTTCAACATCTATAGTTGACAAATATAAAAACGATAAATAAGAAAATATTTTTATCACTATTAATTATTATTTCATCTCATATTATTAAGATATGAAAAGGGTGTTTTATACTTGAAATGTTATAAACACTACTTTATACTTGTTTCAAAGTATGACCAAGACACCTCAAGGTTATTTTATCACTTGAAAGTCAAGTCAATATGGAACAAATTTAAATGTAGTCATTTACAAGGTAAAGTTTATAGTTGTCTTGCTCAGACGTATCATCAACTCTTATAACAATTGTTGTTACTCTATATCTGTGATAATGTTTTATTTAAGAATATAAATAAGTACTTTTATAGTAGAAATTGTATTTAAGTAGCTTGTCTTGCTTTAATAATTTTTTAGTAGAAATGTTTATATATTTTTTTACATGTAATCAATGTGTTTTAATTCAATCTTAGAACCTACAATTTACTGCATTTGTAAAATAAATATTTAAAAAAAGTAGTACTGACAACACATGAAACCTTTTAAATAATTTCTATGTAAAAATAATGTACACTTTTATGAAACCTTTGGAATAAATTGTGTTACTAGCTCATGAAATGAATTGCTAAATCAAATTGTATGTTGATAAATTTTTTTTAATTTGAAATAAAATAATAGTTGATAGGAGTGAGGACAAATTCTGGAACAGAATTTTATTAAAGCTGTGAAATAAAGTAAAATTTGTATGTATATATTTTAATGATATACCCTTGAAAATAATAATTATATTTACAATTGTTATATGGATGATTTATAGTTAATTGTGTAATGTATATATTTCTACACTAAAATTAATTCAATGTTGTCGATGTGTAAATTATGACATGTCCAAAATGCTAATAATGAGTAAAACATAATAATAAAAGAACTGTTATGTTTAAGTAGCACTGGAATTCCAGCAAATAATAAGAATACATGTAATCCTGTTTTTGTAAATGAATTGATATTTTGTTTTTAAGTTGGGTTATAAAAAATATATTTTTCATTTTACCAAAAAGCAATCTATAAAAGTATTACTCATTTGCTCAAACAATTCTGAAACATTATTACATAAAAATGTGTGGTGTTTAGTGACAGTAAGTTAATGATTATTTGGAGATGGTGAGATGTGGCCTGGTGTGACGTAGGTTTTAGAAAAACATTTTCTTTATCGTGCCGTTTCAATCTTTATTGGGATCATCTTCCGGGCTCAAAGTGTTTGTTTTCTGCGTAATTGTCATTCTAGTGTGTCGTGTTGAGATTGCTAGTGCCATATAAGAATGGCACAATAACCCAGAAAATAAACACTTTGAGTCTGAAGATGATCTCAATAAAGATCAAAACATTGGCACGATAAAGAAAATGTTTTTCTAAAACCTACGTCACACCAGGCCGCATCTCACGATCTCCAAATAATTATTATATAAAAAGTACATCAATAGTTATAAAATGGTGATAGCAGTTTAAAGTTAAACCTGGTACTTACTTACAGCAGCTTTTATCATTAACGAGGGAGGGCTAAGAGTAAGCACCACTTCAAATCAGTATTGTCAATTTTCACTGAATTTTTTAATATCCTGGTGTTCAGAACGTATTCATAGCATTGAATCAGTCGCATAAACCAAAACATTGTGGCCACTCATTTTTAATAGGCAACAGCAAGTAGAACTTATTTCGTGGACCTTAACCACTCCCGCATTAAAGTGTACACCACAGAGCTGTATATGATTTGGCATGCCCTAGAACTGGTGCAGTCTGGGAAGGATTCATCCTATCTCATGTGTACTGACCCCCTGAGTATGTTGCAGGCCCTAAGGGACAGATACTTGACTGATCTCATGCTTGTGTTCCAAAGATATGCTGAGTTGGACCGTCTCAGAAAAACAGTAGTGTCTGTGTACCTGGACATGTCGGTCTGGAAGGTGCAGACATTGGACAGCTCCACTCCAGACTTCACTGTCGTGATCTGACCCGCTCAATCCCACAAAATGAATAATAAAGAATGCGGTAAAAGAAAATTGGCAGCGTCGGTGGACTGAGTTGACCGAGAACCTCTTTCATATCAGGCCCCCGGAGAAGCATCATCCTAACCCAACTAATAGTGCATCTTTGGAAAGAGAAAAAACCTCCTTTAAAAATGGCACCATCTACTGGTACCCAGACAGATATAGAATGCAAGAAGGTACAGGGGCAGGAGTATTGGTCCTGGAACCAAATACTCAGAACCCATGGGAAAATACACCAGTATCTTACAAGCTGAGGTCCACACAATCGAGCGATGCACCAAATTCAATCTGAATAAAGGGTACAAAAACAAGAATATAGCTATCATGTCAGATAGCCAAGCAGCCACCAAAGCGTTGAGTTCAAACATCATTAGATCAAAGAGTGCTGAATTGCAAAACTAAACTAAATAAATTAGGTATGCAAAGCAAAGTCAGCCTCTGCTCCCAGGACATGTGGGAATAGAAGCCAATGAGAAAGCGGATGCCCTGAAGAAGAGGGGCTGCTATACCACTGATAGGACCCAAGCCCTTCTGTCGCATAGGAATCCACACTATCAATGAGCACCTCAGTCAGAAAAATTAGGTTTAAAATGCTCGTGGATAAGCAACACCTTGTCCTGGGTGGCACTAATTGTTCACACTTTGATAGAATGTCTCACAGTTAATAGTGTGTCGCACAGGCGGCATCTCTGTGGTCCTTTGTAAATGAGGAGATATCCACACATTGAGTAATTAATAATAATATAGCAATGTTAGCTTAATATCATTGAATTTATACAATTTTTAGTTTTTACTGTGTAATTATCTAATTTTAAGGGCGCTACAACCCTATGCGGGTCCTGGAATCCCCAATAGGTTTACACCAGAAGTTCCTGTTGTCTGTTGCTGCATACCATTTGCAAGCTCCTAGAATAATATTCATAATATTGCATACGCCATCAAGCCACCTAAGCTTAGGCTTTCCAACCTTTCTGCATGTGCCCAGTGGCCCATTCATTATCTTTGCTTGCACTACCCTCTCCTCCATCCTCACATGACCAGCTCAGTTTTATCATGATTAATCTTCAGATAATTAATTGAGCTTAATCCTTTCAAGGATTAAGAGATTCTTTTTGTCTGTCTTGGGGATGGCCCAAGTTTGAGAAGCGTTCTTCACGGTGATCGAGGGTTTTATAGAGCCTGATTTTTGGTTCCTAGAGATTAAGCTGACTTTCATATATTTTGAAAAAGGCTATTATCAGCTATGAATCTCCTGCTGATCTCTTGGGAGTTGTTATTAAAAGAGTCAATTTGGAAGTCGAGATACATAAATTCATTGACTTTGTAAAAACCCACTTTTTCAGTGGGCCATTCCACTTATATTTGGTTATATATTATATACCCCTACATTAATGATAATACCCATGGTTAAAGCTGCTTCAAAACACCCTTTATTTCTGGGAGTATGCATCCTTAATTACTTTTTCTAATTGTCAATCAGGAAGCAGGCTAGAGAGTGCCTCAGTCCCTTATCTATCCTCAAATCAATGGATGCATCAGCCTGAATCTGGCATTTAATTTAATTTAATTTTAATTATTGTTAGTAGGTAAATTTTTACTTTGTACTTTAGACAATATTTAATAATATAGAACATTCCATAGTTGCACTTGCAGAATTATTGATTATTTATAGATTAGATGGACAGAATCTGCAGTCATAATTTTTCTTCTATCTAAAAATAAAACTAATGAAAACCTTTCCTAATTTTTTTTTTTTTAATGCTGTTTTATTAATGTACAGCCCATTTTGCTGAAAACAGTAATTTTGAGTGTGCAGTGTACACTTAGGTGCAACGACTTGACCATTCTCGCAGAGATTATCCTTCTTTACAACTAATTTCATTCTTAGACATAATCCATGGCCATTTGCGTTATTATCCCTACAAAAACCAATACTTAACTCCTGGGGAACTCCTCATGTAGACTGTCTACTCTAGTTATAGGGGTTAGGAAAATAACGGTGCCAACTTGGTAAAACAGTGCTTGGTTTTTTGAAATAATAATATAAACTTTTAAACTTTATTGTTCATAACCCCAGGGTAGGTGGTTCTCAAGACCTGCTGATAATTTATAGGCTCAACTCTGTACACGTGTATATATGTACATACATATGCAGATTTAAACTCATGTAAATCAATAATCATTTTAATGTCTAGTTAAGCTGCTTATCCCAATTTGAACAACTGAGCAAAACTAATCTTTCTTCCATTATCATAGTTAATTTGAACATTAATTTAATTTATAAAGTCCTAGTAGATTTCCTTGTTTTTATTTTTTGAAAAAAAAAACAGTCAGTTTTTAACTTAATTCTAAAAATTTCAATTTTATATATACTGCATCACTCAATTTATTTAGTTTAAAATTAAATCCATTATCATTCTACATTATTTACGGATAATTAGGAGCTATCATAGTCAACATAAACAGAAAGTAATGTTTTTTTACTTCCGTTGCTTACTTTTGTACTGATTAGTCCCATTTGCACAAAGGGTAACGTTATGTCCTTCCATTCTGCTACACCTAAAGATAAACGTCCCGGCTGCAGATTCACAGCTTCGGAGGAGTGTAGAAAATATAATTGACCATATGACAAAACTTCACCCCACATGGCAACAAATCTGATATGAGTCTATGTATTTTAAAACTGTAAGATCCAACCCCTGGAATTTATTTCCTTGTGGCAGAAAAAGAGGCAAATGCCATCGCACTGTTGTATTTGTGTATATCGTTCATAAAATTTGTACAATTAAGGAATAGTAGATGATGGGGTTTGGTCTGCCAGTTTAACATGAATTAAGGAATAGTCCTTTAATTCCATTTATTTGCGGTTCTGGGAGTGAAACATGGCCATTGTGGCAGCAGGAGTTAAAATGACTGCTGGTATTCTTGGCCTCAAATTGTTTAGCATCGCAGTGCACACATCTAACATCCATTGGGCAATATTAGTACTAAAAAGTACTGACCTACAAGTGTAAGGCGAAGAGGCCAGCACAAGGCCGACGTATGATGTTTGAATTCCGGCGCCAGTCACCACCACTCCCCCTGTCATATTTTTATCATTTATTTATCGTCCTCACGATTAATAATAAAATATATTTAATAATTTATAGTTGTCCGAATAAATGTGAGAGCAAGGCTTTCGTTTAAGCCATCAAGAACGAAAATCCGTGGAGCGGTGAGGCCGAGAGAGGTAGAGAGTGAGATACAATGAGAAGAGAAAGGGAGGGTGATGGAGAGGGAGAGAGTGAGTGAGAGATCGTAAAAAAGAGAGCGTAAGGAAGAGAGTGATTGAAAGAAAGAGAGAAAGATAAGGAGACAAAAGAAGGAGACAGTAAGAGAAACAGAGAAAACAGAAAGAAAGAGATAGTATGAGAGAGAAAAGGGAGGGAAGAAAGAGAGAGAAAGTAAGGGCGAGAGAGAGAGTGATGGAGAGAGATAGAATGAGAAGTGAAAGGGAGGGGATGGAGAGAGGAAGAGAGAGTAACAGATCGTAAAAAAGAGAGAGTAAGGGAGAGAGTGATTGAAAGAAACAGAGAAAGACAGGGAGACAGTAAGAGAGAGACAGATAGAAAACAGAAAGAAAGAGAGAGTAAGAGAATGAGAAAAGGGAGGGAGGAAAGAGATAGTGGGAGTGGAAGAGAGAGAGGGAGGGAGAGAAAGATAGAA